TTCTGCCCCGGCCCCACCCCCAGCGCTGGCCTTGCCCCTCCCCTGGCTGACTGTGGACATGGCCGACCCTGCTGTCTTGCAGGAGGTGAACCGCACCCCACAACTTCTCTATGACTTCCCCTGGCCCCACGTTGAGAAGCTGGCCTTTCTGGTGCGTGTCCGAGGGGGTCAAGGTTAGGGGGTGGGCCTCTGCCCCCAGGGGAGCCTGGTAGACGCTTGTCCTGCAGGGCATTGACCAGCCCGCCATCGACCACGAGTGCAGGCCCAGCACCCGGCACCTGGGGGGTCAGGCCACGGAGACGCCCCCGCCCTGGAGGCGCCCTCCTGTGCGGCCAGCTGCCTGGTTCTCCTCACCAGGAGAGCTTCTGACTCCTGGGTGGGGACAATAAAGGGGTCGGGCTGTGGGGGAGCACGGAAACCCTGCACCTCGGACTCTACTTCCAGGCCTCACGGCTGGGCCTGGCACCCTGCGGGGGGCGGAGGGTGGGCGCTGGGCGTGGGCTGGCCATCGGCTCCTTCTCTGGCCTCAGGCGCCCCACACGCCGTGGGCCCAGGGGTCCAGAAGCCCCCAGCCCAGTACAGAGGGCCCCACGTTACAGCCACTCTCAGGCCCCCACCCCCAGCCAGGCGAAATCAGACGGTGAGACAGATCCGGGAGGGAGCCTCCCAGCCCCAGGCCTGGCGATGCTGCCGTCTGGTTTCCTCGTGAAGTCACAGCCGGGGCTCCTCTCTGTTCAGGGCGAGAAGTTCGAGCTCTGGCCCCACGGGCAGCCCGCAGCCCGCAGGCTCGTGTACCGCACGGGCTGCGCCTGGCGCTCCCGCCACCTGCTGCGCTTGCTCCGCACCAGCCACCAGCTGCACCTGGGCCTGCAGCAGGCGCGCCAGCAGCTGCAGCAGCTCGAGGAGGCGGAAGGTGGGCGCCATCCCTGCCCGGCCCGCAGGACCTGCGCGCGAGCATACGAGCATGCGTTGTGTGCATGTGCCTGTGTGCGTGCGCCCAGGCTGAGACGCGATAGCCCCTGGGGCAGAGAGGACGAGGTCGGATGACAGCTTCCGCCTGGGGCGGGGCAGCGACAGTGGACACGGGGGCCCTGGTCTGGGTGGCACTTCCTTCCCCCCACCGCATCTCCAGGGAGGCCATGGTTCACAGGGCCTGGCAGCAGGCCGGCCCCCAGGGCATCCCCGCAGTGTGCGGCCCCTCCACCCGCCCCCCGCGCTGTTCTCACGGCCGCCGCCCCTCCCCACACAGAAAAGCAGTGCTACCGGGAGTCCTATGTCAGCGATGCGCGGGACGCCGAGCAGGACACGGAGCCGGCAGGCAAAGGGGACCGCGCGGGGGCAGGCGGGCGCCCCCCGAGTCTCTGCTCGCGCCTCTCAGCTGGCAGCCGCTGCAGCTCCTTCTCACTGGGCTTCGACGTCAACCCCCAGCGCACGGGGCCCACGGAGCCGGAGGAGATGTCGGTGGATGAGCCCGAAGGGGTCGCGGGGCTCCCTGCAGAGGAGCCCCCCAGCAGCCCGAGCAGCAGCCGGAGCAGCCCTGGCACAGTCGACAGCGGCAGAGGTGGGCGCGCGGGGGACACCTGGGATCAGGGGACACGGAGCCTGCCGCCTGGCTAGACTCCGGCTGAGCCGCTGGGGGCACCGCTGGGGGCCAGGGCATGCGTGACCCTGGCTCCTGGACACTTGGTCACACGAGAGTCCCTGCACCAGGGGGCAGACGGCGAGGGTCAGGGAGGGCCGGGCCCCCTGCGGACACGGCGGGTGGCGGCCCGTCAGCCCCCTGCAGCCGGTCCCTCGTAGGGAGACGGCCCGGCTGGCATCCTCGTTAAAGGCCCCACCACAGGAAGGAGCTCCGCCAGCTTCCTCTTGCTGCCCCCAGGGTTAGCAGAAGTCACGTGACAGGAGGCCACTGATTGTACTCGGCCGCTTGAGGGAGTTCCAGGACCAAGCGCCCACCCAGCTTAGCGTGGCTCCTGGTCCTCGGAGATGCTTCCGCAGTAGGTCTGGGAGTGGGGGGCCCTGAAGGGGTCACCCCAGGAAGGTTACACAGACTCTGCTAATCCTTGGGCGTCTGTAGCACCTTGGAGAGTGGATGTAAGCCTCAGGGCCCAGCCACCCAGGTCCACCTAGAGTCACCCAAGGTTAGGCAGGGCACCCAGCATCACCCAAGGCCTCCCAGAGTCACTCAGGTCATGTAGGGTCACTGAGCATGATTCAGGAGCGCCCGGGGTCACCCGGGGTCACACAGCAGGTTTGCATCAAGCCATCCTATCCACTCTACCTTCTGAGTGTCTGGTCCTCCGGTAAAGGACAGACTGGCCTCCATCCCCGAGGCGTTGTCCAAACGTGAGGTCTGCGATCCAGCATGAGCAGTAATGTCAGCAATAGTAATAATGTCTGCATCTTCCTGGACGTCAGAACTTGGACGACCTCAGCAGCCAGTGTGGAAGGATGGGCAGCGGGAACTGGCAGGCGGGCGCGGGGGTCGGGGGTTCCTGGAGGACCATCTGAGGGGAGGAGCCCAGGTCGCCCACAGAAACCATCGCTTCTTGAAGGGGCTCTCACCCCTCACGTGGGGGGGCCGCAGGTGGCCTGCAGGCGGGGGTCTGAGGTCACAGCCTGCCACTCTGCGACCCCAGGCCCCAGGAGGAGTAGGGGGTGTGGAGCCACAGATGTGCCCAGTCTCATCTTCAAGGTGGGTCCCAGGGGTGGGCCCCCCTCTGCTGGGAGCAGAGGGCTGTCCCCAGGCCCTGCTCACACCCCCTTCCCCCCTCAGCCTCCCCACAGCAGCCGCTGGCTGTGGTGCAGGTCACACTGGTCAGCATGAGGGCCCCGAGCGCTGAGGCCACCCTGCACCAGGTAGGTCCCCCCTTGGGCCAGGCAGGCAGCTCTCTCCCTCCTCTCCCATCAGGCCAGGGGCCCCCCAGAGGGCCCACTGGAGGCTTGGTTGGCAGTGGGGGGTGGGTGAGGTTTTGGGGGACAAGGCAGGTGGGGGACTGAGAGCTTGGCCTGGAGTAGGGGGTCTTCCTGGCTGCGTGCGTGAGTTAAGGGGGGCGGGAAGGGGAACAGAGCCGGACTGAGACAGGGGGCAGCTCCTCGTCATCTCTGCCTGCAGATCCTGGAGCCCAAGGCGGCAGCTGGACACGTGGACCAGCATAGCCGAAGCCTGGACCACACGCACCCCAAGCCCACCCCGCGCCCAGCACCCCGTGCCCGTGCCCTTGGCCAAGCGCTGGACCCCGGGCTGAGGAGGTCCGTGAACTCCCTGTCCCCCAGCCGGCTCCAGAAGGACCAGCTCCNTGAATCTGGCGACAGGAAGCAGGAGGGGCAGGCTCAGCCACGGTCCCCTCTGAGGGCACGGAAGTAATGTTCCAGAAGGAAACCCTGAGCATCCTCCTTTCGCGTCACAAGTCAGGCTCTGAAGGAGGTCCCTCCCCATCTCCAGCCCCAGTGTCCATCTGGCCTCAGGCTGTCTGGATGTCAGGCAGCCCTGGTCTCTGGTCAGGTCAGCACCGGTCATCACCACCCCCGGGCCATTTGTGGCCACCGCCCCCTCTCTGCATCAGGAGGCCAGACGGGAGGTGGGGGGAGATGGGGCGAGACCTCCCCTCAAGCTTCACCACCTCTCCACTTGGCATCCACTGGCAGCTGAACGGCTGAGTGGAGTTTCACAGGGATTTCTGGAAAGCACTCTAAGAGACTTTGACCCTGGCTGGAGGCTGCCCTGCGGGTGACTGAGAGGCGGCCGAGGCCCAGCGTCCTGCTCGGGGTTGGGCCCGCCGGGTGAGGGGCGCCAGGGAGGTGGGCCGCAGGTGTTCTGCCTCCTGCTAGAGTCAGGGCGGCTGCCCCCGGGCAGAGGCATGGCCCCCACCATCCCACCCGGAGGGCCCTGCATGCA